TGTTTGCTAGGAGGGTATTTGGATTGATTAGGGTCTTTGGTGATTCAATAAAATGTGGGGGGAAAACGGTATAGAAAGCAAACACAGATACCAGAGACAGTGTGGGAGGAGAGTGGGAGATGGCAGAGGGTAAGAGATAGGGAACCAAGGATGGGGGGAAAAAAGCAAAACATACAGAAAACAAGAAATGGAAGATCATTTGCTGACAATAACATGTTTGTTGATGTGCTTGATTGAGACAAAATACAGTATAATCTGGATGGAAAATCTCATTTTGTATGCTATAATATGTACAGTGAATGAATACAAATAAATAAATTGAAAAAATAAAAAAATTAAAAAATAAAAATTTAAAAAATTAAAAATAAAAATTAAAAAAAAAAGATACATTGTAAAAGAAAAGGCCTATTGCCTGGTGATTAAGTGAATGGATCCCATATGGCATACCACAGGGTTCCAGTTCCAGACCCAGTAGCTTTAAAAAACACACATGTGGGACCAGTAGGTGGTATAGCGGTTACATTGCTGGACTCCCACGTAGTCGACCATGATTCAAGTCCCGGACCCAACAACTTGAAACTCCCACTGGGCGCATGTGCATGTGTGCCCAAGATCCAAGAAGAAAAGGGATTGCGGCATGACCATGCCTTCTAGGGGGTGATTTTGTGCTTTCTGTCTCCCTGTCTCTCTGTCTTATGAGCACACACACCCTATAGCAAAAATCTATGTCAAAAGAAAAAGGAAAGAAAAGAAAAAGAAAAAGCACATATGTGTATGCATGCCCAGAATCCTGAAAGGAAGAAGAAATGGAAGAGAATGACTTGTAGCAGATCGTTCCCCATGAGAAGTGCTTCCTCATTTTCCCTTTTCTTCTCCTGTCTCTGTCTCTTTCTCCTGTGAGTGCACGTGCCCTCTGGCAAATTAAAAAATAAAACAAAAAGGAAGTTGCAGAAAATTGTGTTACGTTATCACACAGAATTTATTTGCATATCCTAAAATTGTCAACATGATATTCTCTGTTAACCTCAGAGCCAATAAACAGCCTCTGATGCTTCTCTGTAGAAGTTACAGGGCACTGTGGAGTCCACATTGTTGCTTCAGCTATTCTGCCTTAGTGTGGCTACTCAGCTGGCTGGAGTTTTATTAACAAGAGACTATTTTTTATGTGTTTAATAACTTTCACTTTAATTTCTAATCTATATACAAATAATGATATATCTAATTTACATACAAATAATTGTATGTCTTTGTGGAGTACAATATGATTTTTCAAAGCACATATACAGTGTGTCACATAATCAAGGTGATAAACATATCCACTATCCCTGTCTTTTATCATGATTGTTGTACACATTTGAAATTCACTCCGGGTCAGCAGATAGCATAGCAGTATATTGCTGGACTTCCACATGACCGACCCCAGATAGAGTCCCTGCCCCAGTGGCTTGAATATCACGCTGGATGTGTGTGTGCGCATGCCCAAGATCCCAGGAGGAGGATGGTGTTTTCTATGGAGGTGATTTCCCTCTTACTGTCTCTTTTCTTTCTCTGGCAAGTGCATATTCCCTAAGGCAAAACCTCTACAAAAAAAAAAAAAAAAGAAAGAAGAAAGTGAAATTCATTCTACTGGTTATTTGGAGATAAATATTAAATTGTCATTAACTTTCTTTACTGTGCTATAATATTCCATAGTCCTTTCCACTTATACATGTACTCTTGTATCTGTTAACCAAATTCTCCCCATCCTTTTCCACCCCCCTTTACCCTACAGGTTTTGGTATCTACCATTACACTTGCTTTTATGCAAGTGAGACTTTTTACTGCTGCTAACAAGTGAGACATAGGTATTTTAAAAATGAAAACATACAGTGTTTATCTTTCAGAACCTGGCTTATTTCCTAGCTTACATAGCATTAATTCTTCCAGGTCCATCCATTTGGCCTCAAATAGAAGGAATTCATCTTTTTTAATGGCTAAATAATATTCCATTGTGTGGAATATTATTTATTCTGATTATATATGTATATATATATATACATACCACATTTTAAATTTATTTATCAGTTGTTGATCATTTAAGTTGATTATCTTAGCTCTTGTCAAAAGTGCTGTAGTAAATATGGAAGTGTAGACATCTCTTTGACATATTGATTTCCGCTCCTTTGGATATATACCCAGTAGTAAGATTATTGGACTGTAAGAAAGTTCTATTTATAGTTAGGTTTTTTTTTTTAATATGGAATACTTCTCAAATTTATGAGTTATCCTTGCATAGGGGCCACCCAAATCTTCTTCATATCATTCCAATTGTATTTGTGCTGTTAGAGCGAGCACTGAGACTGTTTGCAATGACTTGTGATCAGTGTTAAGAAATGTGGCCTACACTGTATTCAGTGAGCCTCTAGCTAGAAGATTCTTGAAGGCAGGACACTTGTCTTCTCCAGTGTTACACTCTGTTTCAAGCATAGCATCTGGTACACGAAATTCAGTGTTAATTGAGTCGTTGAATACTAGGTCCATTTTTTTCTTACCATGTAACTTCTTAACATTCATCTAAATTCATTGATGGTGCCAAACTAATGGGGTTACTCAGATAAAACTCCCAAGTGCTCTTGAAAATTGATGTGGTACTGACAAGTAAGCAGCACCATCATGTTAGAGAAGAATTTCCTACAATTTAGATATGGAGCTCTCCAAATAACCAAGCCTGGACTAAATGATTTGGATAATACTTTGCAGCTCAAAGTCTGATTTTCATTTTACTGACTTTAAATCATGAGCAGCATAGGGATTCTTGTCATCAATGAACTACTAAGAGGATTTCTTACATGGATGACAGTGGGACATTTATTTTAATACTTTCATGTAAAAGAAAAATGGAAAAGCTATTGTCATTTGGCTACTTTCTATTAAAATTTTAAGTTGATAAAATTTTGTGAATTGGGGTTAGATGATTATATTGATATAAAGTTCTGAGTTAGGTTTTCTGGTGAGTGATTTATTTGGATACTGGTTTAATCAAAGGAATAACTTTTTAGCTATTACCAAGTGATTCTTTAAAACAGTGCGAGGATATTAACAATGGTGTTTTGCTACAGTGCCACAAAGTAACTTCCTGTCTTCTACTCAGAAATCGGTAGTAGCATATGTTGCTGACACTGTTAGTCACCTATCCTCTGTCTTCTTTCAAAACAGAATTCTGATTTAATTTAGGTATATTTTCATACAGAACTTGAGAGTTGACTCTGTATCCCAATTTTCTGGTGGATTCTGGTCAGACTATGCCATGGTTGCTGATATGTCATTCCTAAATATTTACTTTATTCCTACTATAGGTCTGTTTGGCATGATGCTAGGTATTGCTGGGAAGCATTTAATCACAATTATTCTTACATACTGTAAATGCCAAAATTTGCCTATAGAAAATAAACATTTTTGCCTCTTGGGAAAAAACCCAAGTGGTCAATAAACATTTCTTTTTTTGTTTTCTAATTAGCCTTTGTATGACAACAGAAGTGTATACCTGTCCCTTTCTTATTAATGCGAACACTATCTTTGTGTTTATCTTTGTGAAATGCCTTATGATTATGGATTATACTATTTTCTGTTTTATAGAGAAAACCATTTAAGGATTAATATCATACTTCTCAAGAGGCATTTTCTTCTGGTTCCATTTAAAAAGTTTTATGATACTCCTTTACTTCTTTACCTTGAAAGCACTATGGTTACATAGACTCTGATTCAGATTAAGGCAGTTCCTGGCATTTTAAGTTAGTCTGTAGAATGTTATATTTTTTCCATAATGTTTTTATTCTGTGAAGGTGTCATTTTCACACTATAATTTTGCAGAATGCAAATTTTGGTTAGTTATTCAGTTCTAGACCCATATTTTATATTTGAAATGTCATGACTGTATTCAAAATAAAGTTAAGCAAAGCTTCAGCAGAAATGTAACTTTGCCGTTCTAAAGTTTATTAAATAACTAAATAATGGCAAACAGAGTACACAAATGCAAATGTGATTCAGAAATTAGAAGTCAGGGTATAGGTAGCTGCCTACCGGTTTCATTTGAGAGGCACAGAGAAAATATTACTCAGTTAGAACATCCCCTCTCCAGAGTGCCTTACATCTTTATTGGGTTATATTTAGAGGAAGCTATAAATTCAAATGTGATTTGGAGAAGGCAGCACATGCAGATTAAACCATTAGCACATTGAATGATCAATTGTTAGAGCTGGAAAGATTTGAGATCATCAAGTCATTTTATAGAGACCTGGTGAGGTTAAATGACTCGCCCTGGATCTGATTTTTTTTCTTCCATTTTCGCCTCTTTTCTTGGAAGTAAGAAAGACTTAGGAAATGTCAATGTTAATAAATATTGTTTTATGTAGGAAAAGAGGACATATAGATAACCCAGCCAGGCACCTCATTATCAGCAGCTACCTTCAAAAAGTATGCCATGGGAAGACAGATCTGTCCTCTGTATCTTAATGGTGATGCATCAAATTTTCTAAACTTTCTTTGCCACCAATATTTTGTGCCAATTCCACCTCTTAGATTTTGCTGTCTAAATTTTTATGAGAGAGAAATTGCTGGGCAATAACATTTTTAAGGTATTCGTTGTCATTCCCAAAGAGTGTTAAACAATGGCTCATTACAGCTTCGAGAAAAGTCTCTTAGGGATTTGCACTGTACGTTATCACCAGCAGTTACATTTAATGACCAAATAGTGGTCATGTCTATTTCATTTCAAAATGGGTCAAATATGATAGGAACAGATGACATAGATAAACTTGAAAAATAATTAGATAAAAATAGGATAAATTTTACATTTATTCTTAGAAAGTCAGTTTTATGTAGAAGGGGTTTGAGAAATCCCCTTGTATTATTAATAGTGCACTTCAAAAGGAATTCTGGTTTTTAATAACCCAAGGTAAAACTAGAGGAAGTAAAGTTCTATTCCAAGCATTGATTAGACCACATCTGGAGTCTAGTTTAATTTTGAACTGATCTATTCATTCAGAAAATATTGTAAGATGCCTGTTATATGCTGTAGCATGTACCAGTCACTGGGCATACCGTAGAGAACAAGACCCACATGGTCCCAGCCTTCACTGCGTTTTCAAGTTAAACCTTAACCAGATACTTACAGTTATGGTGTGTGTCGTAAAAATGAGGTAAGGGAAGCTGTGGCACAGGATAACCGAGTGAACTAATCAAGTCACATGGCATGAAAAGGGACATGTGTGATTAGATTTTTAAGTTTTGTTTTTTATATTTTAAGACAATATTGCCACATGGTTCAAAATTTTAAACCTATAGAAGAGTATATGCATTGAGGAATCCCTTCCACTTAAGTTCCTATATATTAGGTCATCAAGAAATCCATAACATATTTTTCTGTGATTTTCTATGCAAAAATGTGTCATGACTTTCCCAATGACCCAATATTTTTTTTTAATATCTTATCACAGAAACTGTGCATATTTAAACAAATTCTTATTTTTTTTACAAAGATAATTATATATTATAAACCTATATATTGTTTTGAACTTTCCTCTTTTGTTATTTTTTTGTTTGCATAGTTAACTTCCTACTTTTATGGTTGTGTGGTATTATATTACTAGAAATAGATCATAGTTTCTGGCAGGAACTTGAGGGAGTTTGCATCTCATGGCTTATATTTCCTTTGTGAAATGGGAAATATGTTCAGAAAAATGAAAAATTGGAGGTTTAAAAATCTAATGAAAACTGACATGGTTTGAAATTTTACCAAATAGGATTAAGATATCGAGATTTGTGTGGTAGGATTGTTAGCTGCACTGAGTGACCATTTGACATTAGCAACTCTAGATCAGAAGTGGAACCAGGAGCAGTTTCTCCTCTAAGGTACAATTTCCCCAGCAACACTCAGCAGCCTGGGTACAGGCCTGAAAAAGGCCTACAGTTAGATCCATTGAAGATTGGATTTTTTCATTAACTTATGATGCATAGACTGTAGCGCAAGGGAATTTATGCTTTACTAATAAGAACAAAGCTACTATGTGGACCTCAGAAATCAAAGGGCATGATGAAGGATGTGAAGGCAAGGAAGATATGGATGTGGAGAATGTAAACAGTCACTTGACTGAACCCTGACAAGATAGTGAAAGTGTAGTGGTTATAAACTGGTATGAATCAACAAACACCATAGAAGGGCAGGGTAAGTAGAGAGGGAATATTTGAATTAGCAGACTGAGCTGTTTTTTTAGAACTAAGTTGTAAACATGGAAGTGGAATGGTTAGAGTAGATTTTAGAAGGTTACTGGGGACAAGGAGTGTAAGGAACTGAAAGGGAATTAGAAGTCATATTTTAAGCATTTTAACAAATGAAAACATATCTGAGAATGAGTGACGAGAATAATGAGGGAAATCTCATATTCAGCTGTACAAATGCCTCACATTATTGATTGCCTGCTATATTTAAGACACTATTTCAGAGCTGCCGGTGATACAAAGATGAGTAAGACATAGCACTTGATCTTATGAAGGCTATAGGAATTTGAAAAAGTGAAGTTCTAGAGGGAACAAGTCTTTAAATATTTAAAGATCTATCAGGTTTGAAAGGAATTAGACTTTTGTCTTTGTAGCCTCAAGGGACAAAACTAGTATCAGGGGTAGAACTTAATAGGAAAGTAGATTCTGGCTTAATTTGAATAAGAACTTTTTAAAAAACATACATGGAACGCTGTTACAGTAAAAATGGGGAGAAAAAAATACCAGAATTCTACTCTACTAAAAAGTAAGTTGATTTCTTTTTTCTTTCTTCAGTTCTACCATTGTTAATAAAGCTATTTTTTTACATAATTTTAATCTAGTTTATATGTAACAAATGCTGACATCCGCTAATTTTCACTTAGCATTGTTTTATCCCATTCTTTAACATTGTTTTTATAAGTTGCTTTATATCCTTTATTTTTACTAATTTAAAGATAGTTTATTTCTTTTGGTTTATTTCTTTTGGAAAAGTGATTCATACTTATTTGAACAAACCAAGTATAGAGAAAACATTTATAAAATAAGTAAAAGACAACAGAAATATTTCCATCTGCAGATAACTCATACTAATGTTTTTCGTGATTTTCCCTTCAGTTAGCTTCTCTAGTATGTAAGGATGGGTAGATGGAAGGCTGGATGGATGAATATATAGATATGAAATTTTATATAACTAAAACCGTTTTGTACACACCCTTATAAATGCTTTTTTCATGTAATACTATTTTATGACATCTTTCTACGTGAATAAGTAAAATATATCACTTTTATCAACTTTATGATATTACATTTTTTATATA